GGAAGGATCGCCGGAGCCCAGCGGGTCGAGGCTGCGGTGGCCGGGAGCGGCCACTGCACTCCAGTGTGGGCGAGAGACTGAGACTCCGACTCAAAAAAAAGAGCGGAAGGATCCTGAGACCACCGGTCAGGGAAGGTCACGGGCAAGGCCAGGGCCGGGGAGGGAGGCGGAACCAGAATCACTGTCCTTTCTGGAAGGCTCTCCTGCAGGCTGTGCTGTCCACGGAAGGGCGAAGCCCAGCTTTAGACAGTGAGGCTTAGTTTCTCTAGGAAGTCTCTCCGAGGACTGCCAGCCGGCCCAGAGCCCAAGCAGCCGTGGGACAGGTTCTCAGACTGCCCCGCGGGGTCCTCCAGGGCTCACATGTGGCTGGGGGTTGGCACCTGCAGGACCACGGCCCAACTTCGGCAGACGCCAGGGCCTGGCTGTGGGTCACAGAGGCACCGTCACCAGCCCCGCAGGTGCTGTCTTATGTGGAGGAAAAGGCTGGGGCAGGGTCACTCACTCTTAAGAACACAGTAGGCGGGCTTGGTGGCTCAGCCTGTAATCCCAGCACTTTGGGAGGCTGAGGTGAGTGGATTACCTGAGCCCGTGGGTTCAAGACCAGCCTGGGGAACTTGGTGAGACCTCGTTTCTCCAATAAATAAATAGCTGGGCGTATTAGCGCGTACCCATAGTTCTGGCTACTTGGAAGGCTGAGGCGGAAGGATCGCTGGAGCCCAGCAGGTCGAGGCTGCGGTGGCCGGGAGCAGCCACTGCACTCCAGTCTGGGCGACAGAGTGAGACTCCAACTCAAAAAAAATAAAATTAGCTGGGCATGGTGGCATGTGCCTGTGATTCCAGCTATTTGGAAGGCTGAGGTGGAAGGATCGCCGTGAGCATGCCACTGCACTCCAGCATGGGCCATGGAGTGAGACTCCAACTCAGAAAAGAAAAGAGAGATAAAAATAGGCATCTCACGCAGGTCTGCGCGAGCACGAGGAAGCCGCCTGACCATGCAGTTTCTGGAACGAGTTGAAGTCAAGCGGTGGCGTGTGACCATCACTGGCAGTCACAGCGGACCCAGCATCACTGCGTTGTTTTCTTTGTTCACTTAATGCGTCATTACACACGGCACCGAGCACTTGTTAGACAGCAGGCATTGCCTCAACCGCAAACATTCCACCTGGTCTCACAGTTTCCGCAGAACCATCATAATGAGCATGACTAACTGTGAAACGGGGTCTTGCTCTGTTGTCCAGCCTGGAGAGTGGTGATCGTGGCTCCCTGAAGCCTCCACCTCCTGGTCTCAACTGATCCTCCCCATCAGGCTTCCCAGGCGTGGGGACTCTAGACCATGCCACCACACCTGGCCCATATAATTACCATTTTTAATGACTGCCTAATAATCTGCATGTCAGTATATCACAGCTCAGGCATTCGAAAGGACTCTTGGTTGGGTGACAGGAGGTAAACCCAATGAGCTTGAGAACAGGAGGAATATATGTTGACATCATGGTGGAAAAGGCAAGGGTGGTCCTGGCTTCAGGCATGACTGGATCTGGGCGTCCAAATGACTCTGCTGGAGTCCTCTCCACCTCCTGGCCCTGCCTTCTCCAGGGAGGGCCCATCTTTTTTTTTTTTTTGACTTGGAGTCTCACTCCGTCGCTCAGGCTGGGCGACCCGCTGGGCTCCGGCAGTCCTTCCGCCTCAGCCTTTCAAGTAGCTGGAACTACAGGTGCAGGCTACCGCACCCGGTTAGGGAGGGCCCATCTTAGCCAGACTCCCCTGAGAGCCAGCAGCTGCCACATGTAAACCCCAGCTCATAACCTTGAGAAAGGAGCCTCCTTCTCCCGGGAGCTCCAGAACACGCCCGGCTGCCTCGCATCAGGATAACATCGCATGTGGCCACGCCTGGACCCACCTCGGTGGCTGGCGGAGCTGCAGGGCTCTCGCTGGCCTGGCCTTAGTTGCATGCCCTCCCCATGTCCACTCATCTCCCACGTGGCCCGCCCCTGGAGTCTGAGCGGGCTGCTGTGGTTCTGTGCCCTCTCCACGTCCACGTGGCCTGCCCGAGGGTCAGCGGGTGCTGTGGGCAGGGGGAGAGGTAAACACCTGGCCACAGGAGCACGCCCTGCCTGCTGGGAATCGAGGCCCCACCCCAGTCTCCGAGCTGACAGGCAGCACCGTAGCTGCTGGTGACCACGCCCTCTGCCCTGCCAGGTCCTGGTCATCCTGATGGATGAGTTCACGGACGTGGAGATCTTCTGTGACATTCTGGAGGCGGCCAACAAGCGCGGGGTGTGCGTCTGCGTGCTCCTGGACCGGGGCGGCGTGCGGCTCTTCCAGGAGATGTGTGACAAAGTCCGGGTCTGTGACAGTCACCTCAAGGTAGGGTCCGACACCAGTCCAAGGGGCCTGCCCCGTCCAGGGGGATCGGCCGTGCGGGGACAGATGCCCGCCTTCCGCCAGGGCGCGACACAAGGAAGGCTCACCTCTCGCTCAGTCCCGCCTGGGCCCGGTGTTCTCTCTCCGGAAGCAACTCTGCCAGGAGCTGGCGGCCTTCAAGGCGGCAGCAGGGCGCGAGGGCTAGGGTGCTGCAGGATGCCCAGGACCTGACCGGGAAGGGCCTTCCGCACCGCCGTAACCCTCGGGCCTCACACGCCTGGGGGGAGGTGCCCAGGGTCCCGCCGGGCAGCCGCTGTCCACACCCGCCTTCTCTCTTGTCAGCGGGTGGCGACCACTGTGCCTGCAGGGTGCGCGTCCGGAAGCCCTGGCCCGAGGGGAGGCTGATTCTCTGGACTTAACCGAGCCCGCTTCCTCCCCGGCAGGGAGAGAAGAACTCAGAGAAGGGTTTGGTCAGTCACACGGGTCTGAGGGCAGCTCACGGGGGGCAGGTGTGGCACCCCCATGTGACCTCGGCCTCCCTGCAAGCCCTCTCTGGCCCGGCCAGGTCAGCCTCCAGGGGGGCCTCCTGGAAGAGGACGAGCCTCCCCCGGGCCCCCACGGATGACGCAGCTGAGTGGTCCCTCCAGGGCCACAGGCGGGGGACCCCGACTGCCAGGTCAGAGGGCACCGAGGCCACACCTCCTGGACGCGGGCCGTCGACCCGGCTCTCACCCCACGCCGGGCTGTGTCCCTTGTGCCCTGCCTCACGGAGCCGCAGAGGGGCCGGGAGAGGCTTCTGGAGGCAGCTGTGGGCGTCGCCTTCCTGAGGCCTGCATGACCATGGGCAGGCGTCAGTGGGGGACACTCAGCCCAGTCCTGGGGGACGCCCGGCCTCCGCCTCCCGCAGCCCTGAGAGGCCCCACAGCCCGCCTCGTCCGCCCCCCCTGCCTCCCGGGAATCCTCCCCGCGGTCTGGGCAGCAGCACTCGGGAAGGCCAGGCACAAGCAGCGCAGGACTTGGGTGTGGACACGCCTCCTCTCAGGCCAGTCCAGGGGCCCTGGGACCCCTAAACCGGGGCCTTCCCTCTGACCAGCGTCTCTGTCCTGGGAGGAGCTTCCCTGTGCAAACTGTCGAGTCCGTTGGGACAGGATCCCACAGACCGCGCGGCTTACGAGCAGCAGCCGTTTACCCGCAGGGCTCTGGAGGCTGGACGCCAAGGTCGGGCGGAGGCGGGCTGCGAGGGCCACGCCGGTGCGCAGACGGCGGCCTGTGTCTTCACGGGCCGCCCGTCGGGCCCTGGCATGAGGGCCTAGTCCCGCCCGCGAGGGCTCTGCCCTCATGACCTTCCCGAAGCCCCACCCCCGGCCCTCTCCCTGGGTGGCTGCAGACACAGGCGCGACCCCTTGGCTGTCCTTCCAGAACGTCTCCGTCCGGAGCGTGGCGGGCGTGGTGTACTGCGCCAAGTCCGGCCGGAAGTTCGCGGGCCAGATCCGGGAGAAGTTCCTCATCTCGGACTGGAGGGTCGTCCTGTGCGGCTCGTACAGGTGAGTGCCGGGCCATCCCGGTCGGGGGCCCGGCCCGCTGAGGCCACTGGCCCCCGGGCTGGGCCCACAGAGACGGGCGGAGGTGGGAATCGGCCTCCCGGGCAGGAGCAGGGAAGAGGGATTCCCACGGGAGGCAGAGTCCGCCTCCCTGGGCTGTGCTTCCTTAGCCATAGTGTGTTTTGCTGGCGTGCGCACGCCCACTCCATTTCTAAAGTTCGGTTTATTTTCGTGTAAATGTGCAGCGATTTGCTGATTCTCACACCACCCAGTTCTTCCACCTCAAGTGTGTAACGCAAGGGCCGCTAGTAAGTCGCGCTAGCGTAAGTTCCCCAGGGCGAGCCCCACCCGACGGCCACCCCCTACTGCCCCAGCACAGCCCAGGCCCCGGCGACATGGCCCGCTTTCGACACTCGGGCTGCCTGCTCCCTGACAGCTCGCGGGAAGGGCGGGGCCGGGGCTCAGCTGGGACGGCCGCTCGCACACAGCACTGGGCGCTCAGGCGCAGGCCCCGGGGTGGAAGGACCGCACCTCCCGCATCCACTCGGCCGATGGCAACAGCTGGTTGTGTCCACTTCTGGCCTTTAGGAACGTGCCGCTGTGGATGCTCACACACACGCTGTGTGGACGTGGGTCTCGGCCTCGCGCGCCCGTGCCCAGCAGTGGCCTCGCTGAGTGAGGAGAGCCGTGGGCGCGGCCCTGTGAGGGGCTGCCGGGTCCTGCCGCCATGGCTGCCCTGCTCTGCGCCCCACCGGCCGGGCCTGGGGACTCGGGTGCGCGGGGCCCAGGTTACCGTTTGTCTTCTTGATGACAGCCATCCCAGGGGTGAGTGACGCCGTCCCCGGTGGCTCTGATTCGCATCTCCTGGTGGCTGAGGACGTCGTCTCGCCGTGCTGGCTCCCAGAGGGGTGTCTGTTCAGATTCTGAGACTCCTAGGCCAGGAGGCTGCGTGTGCGACATCTAGCCAAGCTGCTGGCGGCTGTGTCCTTGAGGCTGGACTTTGGCCCTTAGGGAATGCTCCTAAGGAAATGCTCCCAGTGGTGGCCCTGGGGACGTGGGTGTGACATCAGGCTTTGGGGGATGAAAGGAGTGTCAGGAAAGGAGGACCAGCCTCGGCCACGTGGCGCTTTCAGGAAGGTGATGAGTGTCACAGAGCAGAAGGACAACTGGCCGCACCCGTCCCTCCCTCCGCAGCAGACACGTGGCAGGGAACGGGGCAGGTGAGCGCAAGGCCAGCACTGCGAGTGAGCCGAGGGTGGGCGGCAGCTTCCCGCAAGCGGACCGCCAGCTCCTTCCCAGAGAGGATGCTGGGGCGCTCGGCCTCAGCCCCTCAGACCTCCAGGCCCAGACCCGGACGCAGGCCGCCGCCTGGGGGGAGGGCCAGGCCCGTGCCTCCGCGGGCAACCCCAGGAGTCAAGCAGGGTGGGCAGCGGCGCAGCCAAGGAGCCCCGCCCCCGCCCTCTGTTGTGACGGTGAGGCTCACACAGCGGAGACCCCGTCCCGAGGGCACGGTGATGCTTGCCGCGTCCGTGGAGTGTGGGCACCCCCTCCAGCTCCGAAGTGCTTTCCTGACCCAAAGAGAGCCCCTCCCCCGGCCCCGACGACCGCCAGCCCTTTCCCTCGAGAGACCTGCTGTCCGGGCGCCACGCAGGGTGTCATGGGGGCCTCGAGGCATGTCCCAGCCCTCGAGGGTCGGCGCCTCATCCTTTCCGTGGCCGAGGACCGTCCCCGAGCAGGTGTGCCGTGTGTGCGTCCGTCCAGCCGGCATCAACACGGACTCGTTCTCCCCGCTTGATCCGAGGGGCAGCTGAGGAAGTCCTGAGAGCTCCTGCCGTGCCCAGGCGGGAGTGTCCCCCCTCTGCGGGGCTCCAGCGTCCTCGCTAGCAAAAGGGAGGCGTTCAAGCCAAAGGCTGGAGGGGCTGAGTCGCCGGCACTTGGGGAAGAAATCACAGAGCAGGTGCATCCAAGCTCCCCACTCCAGCAGCCCAGACAGGATCCACTTCAACATGATCTTGAACGAGGTGGTGGCTCACACCTGTGATCCCAGTGCTTTGGGAGGCTGAGGACAGAGGATCACTTGAGGCCAGGAGTTCAAAACCAGCCTGGGCAGCGTGGCCAGACCCTGTTGCTGCCAAAAGAAGAAAAAAACAGATTGGCTGGGCCTGATGGCACATGCCTGTAGTCCCAGCTACTCGGGAAGCTGAGGTGCGAGGATGCTTGGGCCCAGAAGTTCAGGAATGCAGCGCACTGCATCACGCCACTGCACTCCAGCCTGGGTGGCAGAGCGAGACCTTGCCTTGAAACGGCTTTTTGAACTTCAACAGATCAAGGCTGCATGTCTTAAGAAGCATCTTCTTGCCCAGAAACTCTTGTCATCCGGCCCTGCCCCAGAGCGGAAGGGCAGGCCATTGCCTTGGAGGAAGTCCGGGCCCTCTGGATCCCACCGGCCGTGTGGTCTGGGGTGACTGTCTCCGTGGGAAGGAGGAGGCCTGGGAGCACAGTCGCTGGGGACAGACGGAGAGACAGAAGGCGGGGAGCAAGTTCCCGTTCTCTGTTGCATAATGAAAACTGGCGAAGGTGCTTGCGTGGCTGGGAGGGACTCGGTGTTTCAGGGATCTGAGTGGCCCGGCTGGCAGGGGCTGGCGGGGCTGGAATGGGGGGAGTGAGGGGGCGCGGGCAGGGGCCCCAATCCCGGCCCAAGACCTGCTGCCCGGCCACACCTGGAGGAAAACGCTCTCTGTGCTTGTCGCCAGCTTCTCAGAGTGTGACCTCCCCAGGCTGGCACCACCTCGCTTTTGAGCAAAACAAAACGACGTCTCGTACCTCACGCTTCCCTGGAGAACGGGAGCTCGGGCTTGTCCGCTCATGCCCGCCCCGGGGGGCTGGGTGCCGTCGCCCTGCGCCTCCCATCCGAGCAAGGCTGCGAGGGTGAAGCTGCTCGCGTGGTGCTGAGCTGTGGGCGCCGGGGCACCCACGTAGCCCCGGGGGGCGCCGCCGTGGACACTGGCGTGACTCGCGCTTTCCGGTGTGTTTCGATCCTGGTGATTCCGGCAGAGTCTGTTGGAAAAGGTGTCGAGGGCTTCCCTGGCGGGGCTGGTGGTCCTGCCTGCAGCCGCTGGTGCCCTTACGCTCAGCAACGGGGCCGCAGGCAGTGGCTTGAGGCGCCGGGCGTTAGAAAACAGCTACTGCTGCTCACGTTGCTGTGAGCATGCCGTTTCTGGGTCGCGAAGCTCTGTTGCAGCGGGTGAGGGCCCGTCAGGCCCTGCCCGTCCGCGGGGTCTGCGCGAGGGACAGCGGCGGAGACACCTTCCCCCGCCTGCCCACCCACCGCCCGGGGAAGAGGCCTGCAGAGGGTCCAGCCAGCTCGGGGGAGGGCAGAGGGTGAGCGCTCGCCTGTCCTGGGGGTCGTGGGGAGTCACAGGAGAAGAAAACCTCTCCAGGAGTGAAAGGAAATGAGTGCATGCCGACTGCATTATGGGATGCGCACAGGCCAGGTGCGCTGCACCCCGAGGGCTGCCCTGGAGAGAGGCAGGGACGGACAGGCGGCCCCCTCTGTGCAGCCAAGGGACCAGCCCCTTGCAGAGGAGGGTCCCAGCCCCCAGGGAGGAGAGTTTCGGCCCCCAGAGAGGCGGGCCAGGCCCCTTAGGGGGGAGAGTCCCTGGCTCCCAGAGGGGAGGGTCCCAGCCCTCAGGGAGCAGGACCCCGAGGTGTCCGTGCCATTGAGGGTCAGCCCAGCCTCCCCAGGAAACCGGAGACAGCCTGGCTCGCCCACGCCTGAACTTTTTTTTTTTTTTGAGTTGGAGTCTCACTGTCGCCCAGACTGGAGTGCAGCGGCCGCTCCCGGCCCCCGCAGCCTCAACCCGCTGGGCTCCGGCGATCCTTCCGCTCAGCTGGAAATTCCAAGTAGCTGGAACTACAAGCGTGCGCTACCACGCCCGGCTAATTTTTTGATTTATTGTAGAGATGAGGTCTCACCGAGTTGCCCAGGCGGGTCTCGAACCCGCGGGCTCAGGCAATCCGCTTGCCTCGGCCTCCCAAAGGCTGGAATTACAGGCTGAGCCACCAAGCCCAGCTTGAACTTTCCGAAAGAGGATGGGAAGGAGGCGCAGCCTTCCTCTCCGTCTGCACCACCCCCACAGGCCCACCACGCAGGGGTGGCCCTCGCCCTGGGAGGAGGCAGGGGCCAGGTGCGGTCAGGCCACGGTGAGGACGGAACCCTCGTGGCCTCCCGCTGAAGGAGGCTTGCTTCTCCCGATGGACAGAGGGGGAGACCGAGGCACGGAGTGGGCAGGCAACGGGTCCCGCGTCCCCAGCGCTCGGAGGCTGCCTGGGCCCGTCCCCCGACGCAGGCCCCCGCGGGAAGGGCAACAGGGCCGGGACGCAGGGTGGCGTGTGTCCACTGCCGATCCTGAGGACTGTGGGGGCTGGGGGCTGGCGGGGCAGCGGCGTCTGCGTGGGCCTCAGAGCGAGCCGGCGAGGCCAGGGCCTCCTCAGGGCTGTCCCCAGCTGGAGGCAAACCCAACCCGAGAAAGGCCCAGCCGGTTCCGCCTCTCCACACGGAAGGCCTGGCCCAGGCGCGCCCAGCCCAGGCGCCCCCAGGGCCGGGACGCAGGGCCTGGGCCCTCTCCTCAGGAAGCCGGGCGGCGGCCCAGGGGCGAGCGCTGTGTGCTGAGGTCAGGAGCTGAGGGCGTGAGTGCTCTGGTCGGCGGGAGGGCCCCTCCGGCAGGTCCAGGAGGGCAGGAGTGTCGGCTGGAGTTGAGCCTTGAAGGGGCAGGAGGCCTTGGGGGTGGGCAAGTGGCTGGCAAAGCCAAGCGGTCGTGGAGAAGCGTCGGAAGCCAGGAGTTGGGAACAGCCAGACGCCGCTGACCTTCGGCCAGCCCGACCCGCTGACGGCCACGGGCTTCTGCCCTGGGAACACACAGATCACCTCTCTTCTGTCTTCTCAAGCTTCAGTGCTCCCCTTGGCTCCCAGCAAAGGAGTAACCAACAAATCGACGTCCCCG